GGTATCCTTAAAACTGTCCTCCAGCACCACGTTTCACAGGACTCAACCTTTCTTCCTCTCAGCTTCCTGTCATTTTTTCTTCACTCTGCTTAGTATCACAATGTCAACTTTATTCCTGTCACCTTAGTCCTTGAGAAGAACTAGTGCAGTGTGGAAGGCCACGAATGGGAACATACCTGGTCTGACCTTCGCCTTGCTTAGACAATCACTGGGTGACCCACTCCGATTCAACCTTGTCCCCGAATGGGAGCATTTTATTTATTTTACTTCATGTATACCCCATTTTTCTCCCCAGTGGAGGCCCAAAGGGGCTCACAACATTCTCTTATTTTATCCGCACAACAATCCCACGAGGTAGGTTAGGTAGGATAAGAGTGTGTGACTGGACCGAGATCACCCACACCGATTCCCCACAAGCAGATGTGCCGCCCTCGCCCTTCCATCTGCCCCGGTTGTATTGGTCAGTCTCACACTATTCGCCGTGTAGCCGCATTCTGACCTGCATCTCCCCCTGACTACTCCCGCATCTTCTCAATCCTTGTTTATTGAGATCAAGAAAATTGGGGGAAGATGTGGGTCAAAATGCCATTGCACGGCAAATAGTGTGAAACTGACCAATACAACTGGGGCAAATGGAAGAGCAAAGGCGGCACAGCTGCTTGTGGGGAATCAGTCCCAGTTAGCTTCCATAGCAGAGTAGAGATTCTTGAAAACTGCACCCTGAACTGGATTGCGTGTGTAACAGAGAGAGAGAGAGAGTCAGTTGTGTCTAGCAGTACAGTTTGGACCACTACCATGTTTCAAGGCACAGACACCGCTTGTGGTTTTTAAGACGACATTTTCCCTGAACTGGATTGCGTGTGTAACAGAGAGAGAGAGAGAGTCAGTTGTGTCTAGCAGTACAGTTTGGACCACTACTTTGTTTCAAGGGGCAGACACCGCTGGTGGTTTTTAAGACGACATTTTCCCTGTTTAATTAACAAGGCTTTATTGTTTAAAAGGGATCGATTCCAGAGGACTAGGCTTTGTTGCATGACGTCAAAAACTAACACCAGCTTTGTGGCATTTGAAAGGCTGGCCAGTTTTTACTCTGGTGTAAACTCTCATGGGACAGAGCCAGGGTTGCCAACCTTGTAGTAGGGGTTGAAGTTCTTCCCGGAATTACAGCCAGCCTCCATTTCCCTAGAGAAAATGACAGCTTTGGAGGTTGGACTTTATGACATCGCATCCCTGCTAAGCTCCGCCCCCTCCCCTGCCTTCCCCAGGCTCCGCCCCCCAAATCGCCAGGAATTTCCCAACTCGGAGTTGGCAACCCAAGAAGAAGAAGAAGAAGAAGAAGAAGAAGAAGAAGAAGAAGAAGAAGAAGAAGAAGAAGAAGAAGAAGAAGAAGAAATTAGATTTATACCGCCCTGAGCCTTCGGGGAGGGCGGGATAGAAATCCAAATAAAAATAAATAAATAAATAAATAAATAAATAAATACCCTGCCCTTCACTACCCAAAGTCTCAGAGCAGTTTACAATCTCCTTTCCCTTTCCCTCCCCACAACAGACACCCTGTCACTGTGAGATAATTGGGGCTGAGAGAGCTCTGAGAGATCTGTTCGTGAGAGAACAGCTCTGAAAGAACTTATGACTGACCCAAGGTCACACCAGCAGCTGCATGTGGAGGAGTGGGGAATCAAACCCGGTTCTCCCAGATTAGAGTCCGCATTCTTAACCACTACACCAAACTGGCATCAGATCCCACAGACTGGCTTCTCATCCACAGAAATTTATGCTAGAAAGCTTCATTTGTTAAGTCTTTAAAATGCCACAAGCCACCTGTTTAAAATGGAAGCTCTAACGTCCTGGATAACACAGGTTGTTTTCAAGGTGTTCATAGGTGAAGCAGCAGTGGAGTCCAGTACCTTCAGGCTGAACCACGGTTATAACCCTTTGGGCTAGATTTATCACAATTGAGCACTTTAAAAAAAATGTATCCCCCCCCAGCACAGGTACAATTATTTGCCTAGTTTAATGCAATGTGAAAATGATAATTGGTCACTGGAGATACGTTCACAGTTTGTAAAGACTATGTTCTATTCATGGCACTGGTTTTAACGCTAACTAGATTGTAGTCTTAAGGCCCGAATGCGTTGCTGCACTTAACGTTTTTACCGTAACTCACAACTTGGCCAGATGTCACTGTGGGCTGGCGCTGATTATTTCCCCCCCTCCCTTTATTAATTCCAAATTGGGTTCTACTTCAGTAAACGTAAAGCTTTAATGAGTTATAAGGAGTAGCTGGAATTATTGCTGCATTTTTTTAAAAAAAAAATCTCCACGGTGAAAGGACTTTTTCGCAGATGGGTTTATGCCGTGGGTCTATTTTATATTAATGGTCACTTCTGTTTCAACTTCATCTTGTTTCACGCTGTGAGTCTCTTCACTTTTTCCCCCCTTCTTGAATTAAGTGGATTTTTTCCCCTCCCCTTGTGCACGCTCTCTTGCTCTTTCCTTTTTAAATTGGAGGATCTTGCATTATATGTCTGAGCATTTCAGTCAGTGTCTTTCACATAGTTTCTCCTCCTTGCTCAATGAAACTGGGGGGGAGAAATGTTTCAAATTCCCTGAGAGTATTAGCCCAAGGGAATTAGACAGACAGCGCTATTGAATGCCTTCCTTCTCTTGCTCAAGAGAAAAGGCAGGTGTGTGTGTGTGTGGGGGGGGTTAACTCCAAACCTTCGGGTGGCCAAACAAGGGGGGGGGGAGATGGCCCAGATAACATTTTATTTAAAAGTCCAGGCAAGTGACGAGATCATTTTGTGCAAAGGTCAAAAAATTGGCCTAATGACCAGATCCCCCCCACACCGCATCTTGGGGGGGGGGATTTCTCTACTTCTTTGCACCCAATGGTCTCTGTTTCACACATGTAGCCAGTTCATACTAAAGGACGGGTTTGTCAAGCTCAGACCGGCTGTACTGTTTCTTCTGCTCTCGCATGTAGACGGTTCTCTTTCCTCGTTATGGTGGTATGTCATGCTTTAGACCTAGAGTTGCCAACCTCCAGATGGGGCCTGGAATTCTGGAATTCTAACTGGTTTCCAGACTGCAGAGATCAGTTCCTAGGGTTTCCAGGCCTCCAGTCCGAGTGGGGTTTCCCCCGCTTTTGCAGGGACCTTTCCACCGGCGGCCAGCTGGCCAGCGCGGGAAACTCCGTCCACAAATGCCACCAAAGCGACGTGATGACGTCACCCGGAAGTGACATCACCACTTTGCGGCCATCGGGAGGGTGATGCTCTAGTTTTTGGGCAAAACTCTATGGTAAAATTTGGGCTCAAAGCATAGAGTTTTGCCCCAAATCTAGAGCATCACCCCCGATATTGGCAGTGTGATGACATCACTTCCGGGTAATGTCACTGTGGTGCGTGCACAAAGTTTCCCGGAAGAAAATGGGTGCATTCAATGACATCACATCCCTGCTAATCTCCCACCCTTTCCCAAACTCCATCCTAACTAAGCTCCTCCCCCCAAATCTCCAGGAATTTCCCAACTCAGAGCTGGCAACCCTAGAACAGTTTCAGAGGGTAGCTGTGTTGGTCTGGAGTAGAAGAGTCCATTAGCACCTTAAGAGTCCATTAGCACCTTAAGAGACCAACAAGAATTTGGAGGCATAAGAGTCAAAGCTCCCTCCATCAGATTTAGAGAGTCAAAGCTCCCTTGTCTAGACTCGTGGTTCTGAAATGATAGTACCAGGTGGTGGCAGCTCTACAGATTGCTTTTATCCAATCCTTTACATATACGGTTCCAAATCACAACCTTCTTCAGATTCAACCACTTGGTTCCATCCAGCTACCAGAATTTAAAACTGGAAGTGCTCAGTGCTGTTGGAGATTAGGGTGCTGCTTACAAATGGCCATGTCTTTTAAGGGGTGGCACCTTTCCCGTGCCTACCTAAAGGAGGCCTGTGCAACCCTGTCCTTTCCCTTCAGGCATGCAGGAGACTAGCTGGCCTGTGTAATTTCCAAAGGCCTTCCAGCTGTGAAGCGAGCATTTTGTGTATTGATTAGTTTGAATTCTCCTTCTGATTCGGGAATTTTTTTAATGGGTGACTTTTTAAAAATGTTCCATTGTTGTACTCTGGTATTACTTTGAGCCTCTTTAAGAGGCTGAAGGGAAGGGGTTTTTTTGTTTTGTTTTCTAACCATTAAGTCACAGCCGACTTATGACGACTCCGTAGGGTTTTCAAAACGAGAGAAATTCAGAGGTGGTTTGCCGTTGCCTACCTCTGTGCAGCAACCCTGGACTTCCTTGGTGGTCTGCCAGGGCTCTTTTTGTAGAAAAAGTCCAGCAGGAACTCATTAGCATAATAGACCACACCCAACAGCAGACACACCCAACAGCAGAAACTCATAAGCATATTAGGCCACACCCCTGACAACACAGCTCATTAGCCTATTAGGCCGCACCCCCATGTTACCAGAAGTGTGGTCATCCAGCCACACCCACCTTTTGCTTCTTATTCTGTTCACCTTGTTTGTTGTCAAAACCCAGGGCTTTTTCTTGTAGCAGGAACTCCTTTGCATGTTAGGCCACACACCCCTAACATAGCCAATCCTAATGAGTTTCTGCTGTTGGGTGTGGCCTATTATGCTAGTGAGTTCCTGCTGGGCGTGGCCAACTCGGGAGCCAGACGGAACTTCGTTCCTGCCCAAAAATAGCCCTGGTGGTCTCCCAGCCAAATACTAACCAGGACCAACCCTGCTTAGCTTCTGGGATCTGGTGATATCAGGCTAGCCTGAGCTAGCCAGGACAGGGGGAAAAGGTGTGGCTTTTAAAGTATTTGTTAGACTACATCTCAACATGTTCCTGATAGGATATAAAATTACAAATATAAAATCAAATAATTTATTTTAAAGCAGCTGTTGTGTTAATTTAACATCTTCTAAATGACAGCTCGGCATTGTCTGCCAATAGGATTTTGGCTTTAGGTCATCGCTTCCTCTGTCTGTGTTCCTTAGGAACTGCAGTGCGACGTGTCCTTTGAAGAAGACAACAGGCAGGAATGGACTTTCACACTGTACGACTTCGACAACAACGGCCGAGTCACGCGTGAGGTAAGCAGAGTGAAGCTTCCTGAGCCACGTGCCACATCCGCTAACAGGAAATGTGGTTTTTATGTCCCATGGTGTCTTCTTGCGCTTGTGAAACGTCTGATTGGCTGAGTTGGCATGATGTCATGGAAAGTTCAGTTACCCCTTGCCAGGGGTCGTTTCGTAGAAAAAGAGCTAGGGGAACTCATTAGCATAACTCATTAGCATATGCCACATCCCCTGACATCACCGGAAGTGTGTCATAAGGCCACACACCCCGCCCCCAACGGTCCCAGCCGCCGCTGCCGGCCTTGCAGCTCCACTGCCGAGCCCCATGAGGGGCCCGGCGGTGGACCTGCAAGGCCAGCGGGAGTGCAAGGAAGCCCCGCGAAGGCCCTCCCTGGCCCCAGGCAGGCAGGGGTGGGGAGAGGCAGGGAGGAAGCAACTTACCCTCCCTCTTCTGCCTCCTCCTGGCTGAATGAGGGCCGGAAGCGGGGCGGCCGGAAGCAGGGGGTGGGGCTTCGTCATGTGCCCCGCCCCCGTACCTCACCTGGGGGGACTGCGATCCCCCCCGAAATGACCTCTGGCCCTTGCTCATCTGAGGCAACCTCGGAGAACTAAAGACTGGGAAGGCCTGTGTGCCAGGTAGAATGTGAAAGAGGAGGGGGGGGGATGCTGACTGAGGTGGCAAAGTAGGGCAAAGCTAAAGAAGGGAGCAGGACAAAGCACGAGGCTGATGTAACAATGGCCTAGTTCTCCTTGTGGTAGGAAACCTGTCTCTGGGCGGTACCAGAGACTCTAGGTAGAGGGTTTGCCTGATTTGACGCACCTCCACGAAAACACAGCAGTCCCTGAACAGAGGAAATTAGACGACAGGGAAAAAAGAGGCCTGGCTTGGCCCGCAGTCTAAAATGGTGTAGTCCTGACACAGGTTTGTGGCCTCACAGAAGCCAATGGTTGGGGAAGCCGGTTGAAGAGAGAAGGGGCCAAGGAGAAAGCGAGGGGAATCAAAGCTGGTTCTCCAGATTAGAGTCCGCCACTCTTAACCACAGCACCACGTTGGCGCTTGGCTCTGTACTGTCA